GGTATTTACCTAAACCATTAATTATTCTCATGTTGAATCAAGGCATTATTCATACACTTTTATGTCTGTGGTACGAGAAAATTAGACAATTGAAATGTCAAACGAAGTTTTTTTTACTTTTAAAACTACGTAGTTTGTTCAAAACAAGGTAAGGGCATAATTTACGGATTCCTTTGGTCAAAATAAAGAGATAATCAAGGCCACTCTAGTCAGGTCTGACTTGTTTTTGGGGAAAAAAATCAGTTATTTTTATTCGATATTTTTGAATTAGTCGTTTTGATAGGGAGTTTAAAATTCCAAATAAAAGTGTATTTGACATTTTTTCATAAAATCAGCCGTTTTTTTATTTACGTTTAAAGATTTTAAATGGCCTCCATTTTGAAATTTCAAATTGGCCAAAGATATTTTTTCTCACATAGGTCGCTTTTACCTTAACATAAATACTTAGTTTCATAAAGATTGGTTGGATCAATCCAAAAATAAAAATGTTTATGTAAAAGAATACAAAATGGCGGATATGTGGTTTACGAAGTGAATTTGGAAAATGTGTTATCCTTAATTTTCTTCTTATTCCTATTATGACTTAAAGAATCACAATGGGAATTATGTCCCTACCTTTATTGAACACCATATATTTAATAGATTATTCCCGGGTTCAAATCCCGCCAAATCACCAATGGGTTTTATCTAAGTGATAATGCCGCAACCCCTAGATCTAGCCTGGAGTATGTGAAAAACAATTCCGGGCTCTTGCCTAGGACGAAAAAAGGTATTACAATTGTATGTAAAATTTTATACCTAAACACCAAAATTATTTTGATATTTTTCATGATTCTTTGTACACTTTTGTATCTAATACATAGAGTAATTCTATGGTTTATTGTCTAGGTAGCCAGTGGTCATGGTTTTCTCCTTTTAATCTAATTTTAATTTAAGGTTGTAATGGCTTACTCCTGATTTTCCATCTCTACTGCATTATGCGGGAGCATCCCGCTCTCCCGTTTTTAGTAGAAAAATTCCCTCATATCTGATACTCTACTCACAATAGGGAATTTTTTTGGAAAATCGGGAATTTTTCATCGTGTTAACGTTAGGTTGGTAGCTCTGCTTACTCCCATGTAGGTGGATTCTAATACCTTATTTGTCCAACAAAAGGTCGACGTCAAATACTAATGAGATCAGAGTTTGGACTCGTCCTAAACAAACACTTGAAAAATGCGTTAAAAGCCGTCGAAATTCACAAAATAAATATTCAATATTCCATTAATCAAACTGCGAATAATTTCACATACGATGTTGCAAATAAAATCAATGTTGTATCAAGTGTGTATCACTTACACACTTAACCAAATATTTTAAAGTGATTTGTACGTGTAGGGCCAACTAATTTATATTTTAATATCCTTTACCATATTTGTTTACTAAAATATGTTATTTTACGTTTTACTAGTTTTTCTTCTTCTTGATTTCTACACCGGTGGAATTATGAATTTTAAATTCTACACTATTTTATTTGTATAATTACTTGTACATCAAATAACCACAATGCCGACGATAAAATTTGACTATTTGGTATCTTTATGGCAAATAAGGTTATATTATATAGGCCAGAAATAAGAAAGTTACTTTACCAACATCAATATTTTTCCCAAATAATGTTTTAAAAATATGCAATTTTTTTAAACAGCTTTCAGTAATTTAACATTTTCTAATAAAAAAAGTCCTTAACTTGATGTTTATTTTTGTATAAGTACTGGGGGTTCAAGTTTCTTAAAGATGAGAAGCAGAATAAATGCTTAAAGATCACGATTTCCACTGAAACTTAATATAACGCAGATGTTATAAAATCCTTTTCCAAGGTGGAAATACCAGTTTAACTCAACATTTAATTATAACTTGAATAAAATACGAATTTTTTATTATGATTTGAAGCTGTTCCTTATTAGGCCTTGCATCATTTCATGTTAGTAGTTACTAGAGTTTGGTAAAATATAGAACGTACTGTTACCTTCTGAAATAATGTTGCTATTTCTCTTCCAAATTATGTATGCAAATGTTTTGCGGAGCAATCTTAAACCGTGCGTTAATAAAATCAGAAGGAATAGCTTTTCTAAGTCATAAAACACAGTTTGGATTTTAAACTAATGTTAAATTTAGATTAGAAAATGTTAACAGCTGTTAAAAAAAGAAACAAATAAATTCTGACGTAAACCTATTTTCTGTATGTTTACAAATAAATATTTTAATTACCTACAATGTAAATAAAAACAAGTATTTGGTGAATACTTTGCTATGACATAAAAAGAGAGTTTTTTGTACGTACAATTCGCAACCATAAAATGCATTAGCAGACTTATTAAAGGACGTTTGGACACTAGTTTTACGTACTGTAAATATATAAGGGGTATATTAAAAAATAACTGACTTTTACGTTACTATTTTAAAAGGTCTTTTACAGGGTGGTAGCTTTCACTGAAGTTCTCATTGTAGGACTGTGGTTTGCTAGCACAGTACTTATTTATAATTATTTATTTCTTTATTTTCTTTATTTTGTTAATTTTATTTATTTTATTTTTTTTTAATTTTTTTTATTTATTTTTTTTTATTTTATTTATTTTATTTTTTTTAATTATTTTATTTATTTTATTTATTTATTTAATTAATTTATTTATTTATAAGTTTTTTTAAATATTCAACTTATCTAATGGAGGTGACATAAAAAAATAAATGTGAAATCTATGCTATGTTTGTTTTTCTGGTGTGAAGTAATAAATAAAACAACGCTTTGTAAAATAACAACTAAAGTTTATTAAAACCCAAAGAAATATTTTGAACAAAACTCAAGTTCATGAATTTCTTCGAGTTTTAATAAACTGTAAAGTAATTTTTATTTTACACAGCGTTAGTTTATTTATTACTTCACACCAGAAGAACAAACATTGCATAGATTTCAAACATTATACATTTTTTATGCAGCCTCAATTCCTCTAGAAAAGTTGAATAGTTTGAACAACTTATAATTACAAAAATGCTATTTATGAAGGAACTATATAACGAAAAAAACATCTTTCTAACCAATGAACTAGCTAAGCTGTCACAGAACAAAATGTTAGCGGTTATTATAGACCACCCGTTATTTTATATTTTAATTTTTTATATTATTAAAGTTGTATACAAGCCTCTTTTTGAAGGAACGTACCTAATAATCTACTTTATGGGGCAAATAAACAATTTTCTCATAACACTGGGGACGGTTCACAAGGAGTTGTTAGGAATTTCAAATGAGAGCATAGGTCGAGAGTCTTCTCTTGTGTGATAGACATAATTTACATTTGCTTCAAAAAGGGGATTTTAGTTACAGCACTTACATGTTCAGCCACAGAAATGATAAAAAATAAAAAAATGTCGTTCCTGGCATTTTTGTGGATCATGTATATATAGTAAAATATTGTTGTATAGTAAATCGATGTCTTGATTTTACCTTAGAATTTAGAAATGTTATGAAAGTCATCCTCTACCTCATAGTCAATTACTTTAGAACTAGCCTCTTAAAAAATAACGAATAATTTTATCGAAGATATGATTTTGTACTTAAATTATTTTTGTGATTTAATTTTGACTGTATTTTATGCTAAACCAACGGGACGATTAAATATTCGTATAGTCTACATCTACAGGTTTGCTGCAGCGGAAAATGTCTTATTACAACATATTTTTCAAAACCTCCAACTATAGTAAAATAGTGTAATGGCAGCTCAACTCAACTCAAGATTTATATTCTATCTAACTTAGAATATTCTGCAGTCGAGTTTCATCTCGGGTTATTTCGCAAATCCAGTAAATCTTTTCTAAATCCCTTCTCATCCAATCATAACAATTGAATCTATTTATGTCGTTTGAATACATCAAGTCAATGATTGAATTATGTGCTTGTAACGGATATTATTGTATCAGGGTGTGAATCGTTCTTACACAAGGATTATATGAAAAAAATAGAGATAAATTAATTTGAAAGCCAACAAATAAATAGGAAATGAAAGTTTGGAAAAAACATGTTTTACTGAAATAGCTCACTTTTAAATCCACCCTTGATCAGCATTGAACATGTTATTTGATTTATTGAAAATAATAACTATACGTCTAATAAAAATGTTAGATGATTATCATTCTATATGTCCCGATGATTTAGTGTCCAATCGAAATCGATCACCACTAACCATCCTTTACATGGATTTGCCGTCTCTTGAGTTAACACAATAAGTGTAAATATATATTTAAGACTGTATTTTTATGTACTTTCAGTAAAATACCTTTATGTAATTATTTAAGACTATTCAGGTATGGCTTGCAACGATTACTGTTATAATCATAATCATAAATAAATGTTCATAAGATATCACTTGTTATGAGGTGAATTTGATGAAACAAGATTATTCTAATATGAATTCTTACATTCACTTTGTTAATATGAGAAACTTGTTTGCTAAACCATTTAGTTTATTTCTAACTAAGCATAACATCTTAGTATGTAAAGACAACCAATGCAAAACCTTTTGTCTGTGTGTACGTCTGGCTACCGTACACAAAAACACATCTTACCACTTGGTTTGATTTGTATTCTAGTTACAATTGGATATTGTATACTTTTATATTAAATTACTACATTCATTTATTCAAACTCACAATAATAAAGGTATGCTGTAAAATTTTACGAAAGCAAAAACTTAAATTTTAACGTTAATGTACTAAAAGTGATAATAGTGATGTAAACCGTAAAATCCTTGAATGTTTGCCAGTAAAACATTTGAATGTTACTGGTATTATTAGTTTATCGTATTTGAAAATTGCATTACAAGACCTGGGAACTGTTTCAAGAGCTTAAGAAATTACCCATTACTTTGAACAATAACTGAATAATCCCTTTGTAGAAGTAATCGCATTATGATTGATTTCCAAATATCTTAACTTAAAAACATATATATTGGATGTACAAAACTTACGTCTAGGTCGTTGACAAAGCGTTCTTTTTCCACAGGTTGACCCAGAGTCTCTTCCAACGCTAGACTGAGGGTGACCAAGGACACGAGCCCGACAACCAGCTTACAGGGAAGAGACATCTGTAAACAAACATATGGAGTTACTCAGTGTGGATCTTGTAGTTGTGAACTAGCATCAGCTGACTAATTGTTTGCTTTATGCTTATGTTTTTGGATATTTTGGTTGTCATGGTGACAAAAAATTGGTAGAGTTGAATGAATGTTTTAAAGGGTAGAAGGAAGGTTAATTTTTTTGTTGATGTGATTTTTGACGTGTAAATTATAAGTAAGTTGTAGAAAGCTCTGAAGAGTTTTATTTTCCAATTTATTTACTCACAGATCTTAAATGTGAATTTAAGTTAGCGAAGTGCAAAAAACGGAAGGATTCCGCACCACAATTACTTATTGGACACAGTAATTTTTTATACATGATGGTGGCTAATAATGCAATATTTGATTGTTTACATGTAAATGATCGTTTAATACTTTATTCTGAAATGGTGACCATACAAATGTAGGAGTTTAAGCCTAGTATGAATGGAGATGAGTGTAGGATGTGTGTAGGTAGTAGTGCTATCGCGTTAGTGACTAAGGCAGACATGTTCCTTAGACACAACTGTTAATTAACAGTCAATGACAACTACGGAATCTACAGTTTATAATGGAATCCATACATAATTTTTGCCTTTTAATTAACGAATTTGTCTAACTATCAGGATAGTACTGCGGATCGTCGTCACTAGAGCGGACGTTAATCCACACCAGGGAGTATCGCATCCACAGTGCATGCCTATAAATATCCACAATTTGTGACCTTCTAGTAGTTGGATTACAAAACGACGCCGCAGTCTCAGTATAAAAAAGCTTGGGGTGTTTTTGTTGTTTAAACCTGTTTTTTTACAACGAAAACAAATTACGTGTTAAATAAGAATTTGAGAAATCATATAAATTGGTTTTTTAATGGCAATATCCAAATACATTTCCTAGGAAAACAATGTCCCGATCGATTGAGTATCGAAGATTGAAACATAAGGAAATTGCTTTTCAAATGGAAAGACTTTTCTGTGTAATTTCCTGCAACTTGCGCTTAAAGGAACTTTTGAATCTTGGCCAATCGTCCGACTGACCGAGTACATTTATTTCCTTTGTGATTGAATTGTAAGAATTTATTTATAGAAACAAATAGACTGCAACAAGAAATTAGAGGGATTCAAACTTTCATTGGATCAAATGTAAGTCTTGCAGTTTGGGCAAATACATTCGTTTTATGTCTCAATAGCTTTGAACAGTTAATTAAATTGATTATTAGTTATGTTTTTAGTTAAGTATTTAGTTTCATGTATTTATTTTTGTAATGGAGATTATTGTTTTTTTAGATTTGTGAATTTAGATGTGAATGTGTGTGTGAATGAGTCAGAAATTGCGTTACGTGCTTGTGTCCGGGATGTGCCTGTCGTGGTGCTACAGCTCGCGGACCCGGGATAGAGAGTCCACGTCCTCATAGTGCTCGTCACACCGACCGGCTTATCACTCCCCCCCCACCCTTCCACCAGCACCCACTATCAACAGCTGACTATCTCTCTCACTCCTTATCTCCTTACCCCAAGAAGCTAAAGGCGGCGCATATCAATGCTCAGTCGTTGCGTGCTCATATTGATGAGGTGCGTGAGATTTTTCAACACAGAGATTTTGACTTGATTGCGGTGTCTGAGTCCTGGCTGAAACCGAGTATCCCGACGGCCGAGGTGTCCCTTCCGGGATATATTCTGCATCGAAATGACAGGACGGGAAAGCAGGGTGGAGGAGTTGCGGTGTATGTCAGGGAGGGACTAAAATGTTCATCTGTCAACTCGTCGCCTTCGGAGTACTCGGCACAGCCAGAATTCTTATTCATTGATATTAGTTTGTCTGGGGCAGATTCCTTGCTGTTGGGAGTGTGTTATCGCCCTCCTAGAGTTGGACAGCTGCTAGACTTTGAGAATGCACTCTTGCACCTAATGTTTAGGTATAGTCATGTCTTGATCATGGGTGACTTTAACACAAATTTACTACAAACGAACCAGAACTATGAATACAGACATCTGACTACATTATTCGATTCATGCAACTTAAGTATACTCCAACTTGGACCTACGCATCATGCTGCCGAGTCTGACACACTCCTCGACTTAATAGTTGTTTCTGATCCACAAGAAATTTTACATCATGGGCAGCTTCCCGTTCCAGCAGTATCCCAACATGACCTTATCTACTGTGTGTATTCGGTTAAAGCTCCTAAACCCAAGACAAAATTCGTTAAGTATAGAGATTTCAAGAACATGAATGAGGCACAGTTTATGTTAGACGTACAGCAAATACCGTGGCACACCATCGAAAATCTTGACTCTGTTGATTTAATGGTCTGTGAGCTTAATAGTACCATAAATGATCTCCTTGATAAACATGCACCTATAATTACAAAACGTTTAACAAAACTGCAACCTGTACCATGGATGACGCCTGAGATACGCTCTTTGATGGCCAGACGTGACTGTCTTTATCGGAGAGCAAGACGATCCCAAGATCAAAATGAATTTGATGAATATCGCCGTCTACGTAATAGAGTCAAACAACTGCTGAGAAACTCAAAATTAAGATACATTCACAAGCTTTTTGGAGATAAAAATCAGTCTTCCAGAGTTTTATGGCGCAATGTAAAAAGTCTTGGGCTTGGGAAACAAACTGATACACAACCAGTTAATATATCTCTTAACGAATTGAATACCTTTTTTTCCTCGTATAGTCAAAATATCAACCAACAACCAGTTAATAACTACGTTAATGAGTTGGTTAACTCATTGGACCAAGGGTTGGAATATCCAATGTTCTCTTTTAAACCTGTTATACAATCTGATGTTTTAAAGGCTATTCGCCGGATTCGTAGCAATGCAGTTGGATCTGACGGTATACCAATACGATTCATCAAAGATATGCTTTTTGCCATTCTTCCAACTATTACGCATATTTTCAATACGTCTTTGAGACAAAGATCATTTCCTTCATCTTGGAAGTCTGCCCTCATTCGCCCATTAAATAAGATCGCAGCACCATTATCCTGTCAGGATTTCAGGCCGATCAGTATTTTGCCCGCTCTATCTAAAGGCCTAGAAAGAATCGTACACTGTCAAATTACTGACTTTTTGACTGAAAATAACATCCTCTCTCACTATCAATCTGGTTTTCGCAAAGGTCACAGTACAGAAACAGCACTTCTTCGAGTTACAGATGACATTAGACTCTCAATGGAACGTCGACAGGGTACGATTCTTACCTTATTTGATTTTTCTAAAGCATTCGATTGTGTAAATCACAGACTATTATTGCAAAAATTAAGGGCCATAGGATTTTCTGATAGTGTTCTTGAATGGTTAAGATCATATCTGTCAGATAGGCGGCAGTGTGTTCAGGTTGATGACTTGAGATCAGACTGGGAGATAGTTACATGTGGTGTGCCTCAAGGGTCAATCCTTGGGCCTTTACTTTTTGTACTGTACATCAATGACATTGGCACAACTCTCATTCACTGTAAATACCACATGTACGCTGACGACCTACAAATTTACTCTCACTTCAACGCCGATGACATTAACTACTGTGTTTCAAACATTAACGAAGACATTGGACGAATCATTGAATGGACCGATAAACATGGACTTAAAATCAATCATAACAAAACAAAACCCATCATAATCTGCCATCAACGACTGCAAGGCTCAATTGACTTTCATGCTACAAATCCAATCACTGTTAACGGTACTGAACTACCATACTGTGACAAAGTGAAAAACTTGGGACTGACTCTCAACACTACACTCACTTGGGGAGATGCAGTGATTGACATTCGTAAAAAGGTGTTCTCATCAATACATTCATTAAAGAGATTGCAAACTTTCTTGCCATTGCACATAAAGCTCCACCTTGTCAAATCACTCGTATTTCCCCACTTCACTTACTGCAACTCTGTGATCAATGACATGACTGTAAGTCTTGCTGGTGTGCTGCAACGCTCGCAAAATTATTGCTTGCGATTTGCATTTGATTTAAGACGCTTTGAACACATTACACCTTTCTACATTGAATCAAAAATATTAAAGTTGAACGATCAGAGGCTACTTAAAATCACCATGTTAGCATTCTCAATTTTAAAAAATAGATTGCCAAAATATTTTGAAGGGGACTTTAGCTTTGTAGCCGAAGGTAGCTTGAGGAGTTCACGCACTGCATCTTTCACGTTACGCATACCTCATCATAGGAGTACAGCATATGACAGGGCCTTTGTTGTAACTGCCTGCCGTCTTTGGAACAACTTACCTTTATCCATCAAAATGCTTGATAGTCGTCCTCGGTTCGTGGCGGCACTGAAAAAAATGTACTTTGAGCGTATGGCCTCGGCTGGTGCGTCCTAGGACTGTTTTGGCACTTGCGTAATTGCTGACTGAGTGTGTGAGACTTTTTTGTTGTTGTTAGGCATTTTGTTTTCGTTTTATCAAAAAAGTATTGTTGTTGTGTAAATAATGTGTTAAATTGTATTTTCTATTTTCTATTTATAATTATGTATGCAGGTTAAGTGTAAGAAAGGGCCATGTGGCCCTAACTTTGCCTGTTGAAATAAAGGATTTTCATTTCATTTCATTCCATTTCATTTCATTTCATTTCATTTCATTTCATTTCATTTCATTTCATTAAAGTGACGACGTGGTTATAGTGAAGACAAAGAGACCACATCTAAGGCAAGGTAACCACGACTGAATTGTACAACAGATGATGCTGGTCTAGAATGTATTGACACAATCAAACTAGTCAGCTGATTTGAACATATATGTTGATTGTTTAGCGTAAAAAACCATTACATTGAAATAATTACTCCCTTGATTAATTGAAAATTGGTACTCACTTCCTTAATATTAACTCCTAATACACACATTACATAATTTATTATTACATTATTTTTGTTATATTAAACAGTTACAATTAAATTTAGCTACCAATAGAGTATCTTTGAAACGAAGTTAATTTTTATGACAAAGCCGCTGTTAAACCTG